GTTCCTTCCTACTGTTCTGTTGTCCTGAACCTCAAGAGTGCAGTGGAAAGGATGGTGGGCTAGTTTCCCATTTTCAGCCTTAACAACTGGGTCGCCTCTGCTTTATGTTTTTGGGAGACTGAGGAAACGTCTGAGAGATCTGGGCCTGGGAGAAGGCCCTGCCTCCTGCTGAGGCCAGAGTGCATGAACTGGTTGTTGATTTCATTCACCAAGCCTTTCGGGAGTTTGTCATTCATTCAGCAGCTGAAACAGTAAATTATGCTATAGGTGTGTGTGTGTGTGTGTCTATTTTTATCATATTTAAAGACAAAGTAGTTAATGTGATCTTTTAGTTTTAAATTTGTTCATTTGGTACTTAGTAAGTTTGGCTTAAGTTTACCTGTTGTTGAGAGACATTTACACTTTCTGCTGTGAGCTAGCACACACATAAGGTTTTGGATGTGTATTTGGGGGTACTGGGGCTTAAACTCGGGCTGGTACTCTACCACTTGGGCTATGCTTTCACTTCTGCCTTTGTGCTGGTTAATTGGAGATAAGAGTTCCTCAGATTAGTCTAAGCTATCTTTGAGCCATGATTTTAGATCTCAGCCTCCCTCTTGAGTAGCTATGATTATTGGGGGGGTGGATTTAGTAATTTGGTCAGGTTTGGGTTGCTTCTTCCTCTCCCAGCTGTTTCCAGGGTAATGTTTTCTGTTTCCGTCAAAGGTGCATAAAATCTGACTGTTCTCTTTTGTGATGTTAATAGCTGCTGCCTAGATACATTTGTTAACCCATTAGTTAAAAACTAACATGGTAATTGGTTAAGCTGAGTCCTTTCCCTTAGAGGGAATAGATACTAGCAGGTTTTCTCCCATTTATCGAATTTACTCTCAGCGTGTTTCTCCCACTAGAATTTCCTTGCTCTGAAAGGGGTTTTCTGTCTGATCCCTGATGTGCTCTTCCAGTGCCTGGAATTGTGCCACCTGGCACATAAAAGTTGCTTAACATGCATTTTAAGTGGGTGGGTGAATGAATCTTTAGTCAGAATTCTGAAAACTTGGGATTCAGAATAGAATGAAAATTTGTTTCCAAGCTAGGAATTGTAAAAATACAGCTGATAGGAGGTACAAGTGTAGGAGAAAAGGTAGGTTGGGATGCTGCTCTGCTTTTATAAAAAGCACTTGTGACTATGACTAGTGAGACTAGGAGTAATGCAGGGCAATTTGAGGAGGGAAGAAACCACGCCACGGCTCTGTGGGACGTCTTAGCTGAGCTCTTCGGAGACACACGGCTACAAGCTCTAAGTTGCCTCTGGCCTGATGCTGGGAGGGTAGAGAATGTAAGTGGTCAGAAGATGAGGGGAGTCTCGCTGGGACCTCGGTGGTCACAGAATGTCTTAGTCATCTTACAACTGGCCTGGCTCCTGTGGTAGTCTTCATCTTTAATTAATTAATTAATTAGTTAGTTAATGCTAGTCATGGGGCTTGAGCTCTGGGCCTGGGCATTTCCCTGAGCTTTTGTGTTCAAGGCTAGCACTCTACCACTTGAGACACTGCTCCACTTCTGGATTTTTTGAGGGGAGGAGGTGCACTTATTGGTGCTAACAGTCTCACCAACTTAGCTGCCCAGGCAGGCTTTGAACTGCAGTCCTCAGATCTCGGCTTCTTGAGTAGCTGGGATTACAGGCGTGAGCCCCTAGTGCCCAGCTACATTTTTAGTACATTCTTAGTGGCATATTTTGGTTGTACACCGGGGTTTCATTGTGATAGTTCCATAACATGCACGCAATATATCCTGGTCAAATTCACCCCTTTATGGCTTTCCTTCATCCTTCCTCCAAAGTTTTTCTTTCTTTTTAATTTATTGTTATCATCGAAGTGATGTAGAGAGGTTAGATTTACATGCGTCAGGTAATACTTCCTTTCACACAGTGTCTTCTGTTCCTCACTGTCTCCCAGTCCCTCCCTCCCGTCTCCTCCCACGAATTGTATAGCTCACTTTCATCAGTGTCCAGTGAGCTCCAGGGCTGCACGTGTTCACCCTTTTTCCCCTCGAGTTCTACCTTTCCCCACCCTCCCAAATGGACACATGTGAATACACCATGTGTAAGGTAAAGAATGCAGAATCATCAGAAAAAGAAACAAGATTTTTGTTTCATGTCTTAAGAATTCGTTTCAGTATATGTATTATTTTATATACGTATTAAGAGGCTCCTAGGCATTGCACCTTTGTGAGTCTTTCCTAAGACTTTCCTCTTTTGGTCTGACTGTGAGTATCTAGAATGCTGTGTCATTTGTCATATCCCAGTGCTTTTTTTTTTTTTGGCTAATCCTGGGGTTTGAACTCAATGCCTGGGTGCTGTCCCTGAGCCTCCTTGTGCTCTAGGCTAGCGCTCTACTTGAGCCACAGCGCCACTTGTAGCTTTTTCTGAGTAGTTTATTGGAGGTAGGAATTTCACAGACTTCCTTTTCCTCATTTTAGCCTCCTGAGTAGCTAGGATTACAGGCGTGAGCCACCAGTGTCTGGCTCCAAAATGGTTTTAACAAGTTTCATATTGTGTTTTCATGTATTCACCTCACCCTTTCCGCCCTCTCCCCTTCCTCTGATAGCCAATCCACAATAGAACCTGTTTTACATTCCTGTCATTCATTTTTTAGTGTATGTTGGCTGGACAAAGGGTTTCCATGTAGTATTTCACAAGACATGCTCATATTATATCTACTTGGATGGATGTTGCTCTTTCCCCGTCCTCTGTTCAGCAGCTGTCAGTGAATTCCTATGCAATGGGTGATGAAACGTACTCTTCTCCATCTCTTTCCTTCTCCCTCCCCCTTGTCTCCCAGTTTCACAATTAATAACAAGTAGGGGAGAGAGAGAGAGAGAGAGAGAGAGAGAGAGAGAGAGAGAGAGAGAGAGAGAGAGAGAGAGAGAGAGATTTAGGTCTCAATTCCACATGTTAAGAGAAAATATGTGACTTTTATTCTTCTGAGCCCAGGCTAACAGGAACTTTCGCTTAACTCAGTCTCCATCTCTTTTCCTGCAAATGATGTAATTTCATTCTCTCTCCCCCTCCCCACCCCCCATTGGTCGTGGGGCTTGAACTCTGGGCCTGAGCGCTGTCCCTCAGCTCTTCAGCTCAAGGCAAGCACTCTACCTCTTGAGCCACAGCGCCACTTCTGGTTTTCTAGTGGTTTATTGGAGATCAGTCTCACGGACTTTTCTGTCCAGGCTGGCTTTTAACCGTGATCCTCAGATCTCAGCCTCCTGAGTAGCTAGGATTACAGGCGTAAGGCACCAGTGCCCGGGTGTAATTCATTCTTTACTGCTGAATAATACTTGGTTGTGCAAATATTTCTTTTTCCTTTTTTTTTTTTTTTTTTTGCCAGTCGTGGGACCTGAACTCTGGGCCTGTGCAGCTCTTCAGCTCAAGGCTAGTGCTCTACCACTTGAGTCACAGCGCCACTTATGGCTTTTTCTGTTTATGTGGTGCTCAGGAATCGAACCCAGGGCCTCATGCATGCAAGGCAAGCACTCTACCACTGAGCCACATTCCCAGTCTTGCAAATATTTCTTTATTCATACATCATTTGTAGGGCATATAGGCTGCTTCCATAGCTTAGTTATTGTGTCATTTATTAATTGATTGATTGATTGGTGCTGATATTGCTGCTTGAACCTCAAGGTTCTGTCCTTTTAGCTCGAGGCTTACACTACCACTTGAGCCATAGCTCCATTTCCAGCTCTTGGTGGTTAATTGAAGATAAGAATCTCATGGGCTTTCCTTCCTGGGCTGGCTTCAAAACATGATCTTCAGATCTCAAGCCTCCTGAGTAACTAGGTTTATAAGCATGATTCAATGGTGCATCTCGCAAGTATCTTTATTATTTCTTGACTTATTTCTTCAGATAAATGCCCAAGTGTGGTATTGCTAGATTGTAGGGTAGTTCTATTTTTAATTTTTTGAGGAATCCCCATACTGTTTTCCACAGTGGTTGCACTAATTTACATTCCCACCAACAGTGTATAAAGGGCTTCTTTTTCCCCAAAACTTTCCTTTTGTACATCGTGGGGCTTGAACTCAGGGACTGAGCACTGTCCCTAAGCTTCTTTGCTCAAGGCTAGTACTCTACCACTTAGAGCAGAGATCAGAGTCTCAAGGACTTTTCTTGCTCGGGGTGGCTTTGAACCACGATCCTCAGATCTCAGCCTCCTGAGGTAGCTAGGATTGCAGATGTGAGCTGCCAGTGCCTGGCTCCCCACATCTTTACTAGCATAGCGTTTCTTGTTATTTGTTTTTGATGATTGCCACTCTGGACCAGGGTGAGATGGACTCTCAGTGTACTTTTGGTTTGCATTTCCTGTATGGCCAGGGATAATGAATATTTTTTCATGTAGTTACTGAGCATGTATCATGAATGGTCTGCTCAGTTCATTTGTTCATTTATTAATTGGGTTGTTGATACTTTAGGATTTAAGTTTCTTAAACTTTCTGTATATTATGGTTATTAATCCCTCATTAGGTGTATAGCTGGCAAAATCTTTCTCTAGTTCTGTTGGCTATTTCTTGAGTCTAATAACTTTTCTTTTGCTGTGCAGAAACTTTTTTTTTTTTTTTTGTTCTGGTCGTGGGACCTGAACTCTGGGCCTGAGCGCTGTCCCTCAGCTCTTCAGCTCAAGGCTAGTGCTCTACCACTTGAGCCACAGCGCCACTTCCAGCTTTTTTCTTTTTTGCTTATGTGGTGCTGAGGAATCGAACCCAGGGCCTCAGGCATGCAAGACAAGCGCTCTACCACTGAGCCACCTTCCCAGCCCCAGAAACTATTTATTATTGTTATTTTTTCCAGTCCTGGGGCTTGAATTCAGCTGGCCATAACTATGGACTTACTTTTGGGCCCTCTATTCCATTGGGCTACATCATGTGTGGTTGAGTGTCCAGCCCTTTAAATCAATTGACTCCGCATATATATATGTGTGTATATATATATATATATATATACACATATATATATGCATACATAAACACATATACACACTACTTCATGAATTTGCGTGTCATCCTTGGTCAGGGGCCATGCTAACCTCTGTATCGTTCCAGTTTTAGTATATGTGCTGCCAAAGCGAGCATGACTCTGCTTTTTTCATAGTAGCAGAATGTAACTTTTGATGGGCAAGGAAGGGATGTCTGTTATAAGATAGACAAGACACAAGTGGGTGCATGATAGGAGAGCCACATATACTTCTTGTCAGCTGCCTAAAGGCTGTCCACCTGTATTGTTAGAATCCAGAGGACAATCTTTGATACCAGGCAAGCTGGGAGCGTACATGGTTTGTAAGTGTTAACACAACATAGCAAAACTATGGTGCTCTGGTGATGTTGAGATGAGATGAGATGTCAAGGGCCTTTCCTCTGATTGGCTACAGTGTCATGACATCTTTGTCAACACAGACTTTTTACTATGACTAATTCAACCTTTAGTCTTATACCCATAATCCTCACCAAAAAAACCCCTGAATCCTCGAATGAAGATTAAGGAAATTACAATACATGGAAAAGACCATGGTACAAACATTGGATAGTTACCAAAAGTTTAGGGGTGTGACATCCTGCAAGTGGCAGTTACAAAGAAAAGTTAATGCAGAGTGTTGGACGCTGGTGGCTCACACCTGTAATCGTAGCTACTCAGGAGGATCGCAGTTCAAAGCCAGCCCAGGGAGTAAAGTCTGTGAGACTTTATCTCCAATTAACCACTCAAAAACCAGAAGTGGAGCTTGTGGGAGACAGTGCCCAGGCCCTGAGTTCAAGCTCCATAACCGACAAAAAAATGAATAATAGACAAGTTACTATTTTCTGGTTGTTCTTGAAGTCAAACTCAATGATACAGGAGGCCAAATGTATCTAGAGATGAATGCTCTTCAGCAGTTTGGAAGTACAAGCTGCTTTCACTAGGCCCAGTAGTGACAGTGTCGTCTAAGTTATGTAGTGAACATGTAATCGCAGAGAAGCTGAGGTTTCATGTCTGCTGCTGCTGAGCATTGTTGAGAGTGGTCTGGGAGAACTGTCTCAGATTTGAATTCTGCCCTTGCACGAGGTGTGGAGAAAACATTGAAGGATTCTGTTCGGTTTTTCTCTGGCTTATGAGGCAGTGGACATAACAAATGCTCCCTAATTGGCCAGTGTCCTTCATGATGTTGTCACACCACAGTTTGACAAGAGAGGAACCATTTGTGGCTCTGCAAGATATGAAGACTCAAGAGACTGGTTCCTATCAGGGAAAAAATTTCAGCTAGCATTCAAAAAGTTTAAGTGGCCTTACTATAGAAGAAGCTCCAGTCATGGCTTGCACAAAGGCTTAATTGTGTTTGTGTTTGTGAAGAAAGAATTAAATCATCTAACCATCTTAATTTTTGTTGTTGTTGTTGTTGCTTATGGGGCTTGAACTCAGGACCTTAGTGGTGTCCTTGAGCTTTTGTGCTCCACTTCTGGTTTTGGGTTGCTTAATTGGAGATCAAAGAGTCTCCCTGACTTTCCTGCCTAGCCTGGCTTTGAACCATAATCTTCAGCTCTAGCCTCCTGTGTAGCTAAGATTACAGGTGTGAGCCATTGGCACCCAGCAGTCATTTCAATCTTGGCCCGAGTGATTTAATTATACACCATGAATCCTATACCATGTAAATCTCTGTGCAGTCATTTCAGCTTAACCACATGATAGTGTCATGCATAATTTTTTTTTCCAAAAGGGAGAGTTTAACAGTTTAAGGAGTTTCCGACTGCTCTTGACTGATGGTTGATCTTGTCACCGTGAAGTGTGGTGACTGAGTCACAGGAAAGTGCGCATGAGTTTTATGAACTGCAGGATGAAGCCGGGAGTTCATGGAGATGAAGGGAAAACCTGTCAGTGGTTCAGTAACAGCTAGCGGCTGTGTGTCTTGGCATTCCTGGTGGATGTTACCAGGACCCTCTCAGGAGCTGCATGTCAAACTTCAGGGCCCTAACCACCTTCTCTGCTTTCCAATGTGAAGTGATTTGAAGCCAAATTAAGGCTGCAGAAAGTACAACTGAAAAGGAAGAATATGGCCTTTCTACTCTGGAAGAACACTTGAATGTGCTGGTGAATGTGCGAACCTAATCGAGGCATTTAATGAGAGCCAAAGACATGAAAAGTAAAGGAATGGAATTGAACATCTTTGCTACGCCAGTTAGTGTGGAACAGCTGACGTCCCTGATGAGCGCCTGTACAGCGTGCGAGCATTCCACAGCACGGCTAGCTAGACTTCTGTAACCCTTACACGGACAGATGCTGAACTACTCCCACTTGAGGGGACATGCATTGGACTGTGCATCTATGTTTAGAACAACTTACTGCTGAGCGCGGTACCTTTCAAAACATATCACCATAAACCGAGGGCCGTGCTCCCGACGGGCCAGAAACCTGCACAAACAGTTGTCAGTCCCCTTGCTTCTCTCCCTTCCCCTCCGCTTCCTCCCGCAACTGACGTCACATAGGGCTGAGTTAACTCGATGTTTGACCAACTGTATCAGGTAATTTTTAATTTGATAGTTTTATTTGGCCCATGGATAGCAAATATCCAAATGGCTGATGGCAGGAGAAAAAGCTCCTGTCCCATCCTGTGTTACCACTATGCTGTCTGCATGTCTACTTTTGTGCCAGTACTATGCTGCTGTTTTTTTGGTTGGTTATGGGTCTTGACTGTGGCCTGGGTGCTGTCCTATACTCTTCAGCTCAGGAGAATGCTCTACCACATGAGCCACAGCGTCACTTTTGGTTTTCTGGTGATTAAGAATTTCATGGAGATAAGAATCTCATGACTTTCCTGCCCCAGGTGGCTTTGAACTGTGATCCTCAGATCTCAGCCTCCTGAGTAGTTAAGATTACAAGCATGAGCCACTAGCGCCCAGCTCTTGATTCCTCTTATGTGTTATATTACATTAATTAATTTATTTATTTATTTTTGTTGTGGGGCATGAATTCTGGGCCTGGGCGCTGTCCCTTAGCTCTTCAGCTCAAGGCTAGCACTCTACCACTTGAGCCACAGCACCACTTCTGGCTTTTTTCTTTTTGCTTATGTGGTGCTAAGGAATCAAACCCAGGGCCTCATGCATGCAAGGCAAACGCTCTACCACTGAGCCACCTTCCCAATCCCGTTTTATTATTATTTTTAATGATTTATTTAATGACTTTTTGTTTTTACCAAGGAATGGAATCCAAGGCTTCATGCATGGTAGGCAAGCACTCTACCATTAAGCCACAGTCCCATTTCTATATTTATTGATATTTGATTGTTGAATGAAACCATCTTAATCATGATATGTGATCTTTTTAATATAATGTTAGATTCTGATTACAAGTATTTTGAGCTAGTGGCTCATGCCTGTAATCCTACTCAGCTGAGATCTGAGGATTTTGGTTTGAAGCTAGCTGGGGCAGCAAAGTTCCTGACCCTCTTACCTCCATTTAACTATACCCCTCCTCTCCAAGAAAAGGAAAACTGGAAGTAGAGCTGTGGCTCAACTGGTAGAGTGCTTGTCTTGAGCCAAAAAGCTCAGGGGCAGCACCTAGGCCTTGAGTTCAAGCAAGAAAATTGGTTTTGCCTTTGTTGGTATTGGTGTAATACTGACTTCATTGTGTAAGTTTGGTGATCTTCCTTCTCGTTTTTTTTATGTTGTTTTGAGTAATTTGAGGAATGTTATTTGTTTTTCCTTTTTAAAAGTCTGTTAGGATTCATCAATGAACCCACCCACTCCTGGATTTTTCATTGAGTTACTCTTACTACTAATTCAATCTCATTACTTGTTATACATGTCTTTAAGCTGTTTATAACCTCTTGGTTCAATTTTGGTGTCTTGAAGAATTTATCCTTGATTTTCCAGGTTGCTGGAGTACAAGTTTTGAAATACTCCATATGATCTGATAAATTCCATTGGCATCTGTGCTAATATCCCTCTTTTTAACTCTGATATCAATTTAAGTCTTCTTCTGATTAGTTTGCTTAAAGGTCTGCCACACTTCTTTCTTTTTGAAGAAGCAGTTCTGTTTCATTGACTTGTTGTATTCTTTTTTGTGTATGTTTGGTCTGGTGCTTATACTCTAGGCCTGGGTCCTCAGCATCTTTCACTGAAAGCTAGTGCTCTACCACCTGAGCCACAGCACCACTTTTGACTTTTCTGAGTAGTTTATTGGAGATGAGGATCTTACAGACTTTCCTGCCCGGGTTGGCTTCAAACGGTGATCCTCAGATCTCAGCTTCCTGAGTAGCTAGAATTTATGGGCATGAGCCATCATTGCCTGACGATTTTATATATATAAAACAATCTTACCCTACTGCAGGATGGAATTCTCTAGATGTCTGTTAAGTTCCATTTCATCAATGGTGTTGTTTGAGATAGTTTTGTTATGGTGCTGGTTTCTGGGCCCACTTTTCAAGTTTGAAGTGTGGTGGTATAGAAGGAAAGAGCGCAGAGGATCACTTCTGAGAGAGCTCAGAGGAGGCGGCCAGCTGCTCAGTGGCCACCCGCGTTCTACACAGCTGAGTGCCGCAGATGCAGAGAAGGGATTTGGAGTAAAGAGAAATGATTTATCTTGGGGGTTGAAACTAGATAAGGAAGGAAATAAAAATCTGTAGGTGGAGATTTAGGACCGTGGTTTACAGTAGTATATTTCTCTCTTTTTTTTTTTTTAACTAGAGCCCTTAGTAAGGAACATTTTTATTGTCAACCAGTCCTAAATGTGTTTATGATCCAGACAAAAGTGTTCTGATACCTTTATTGACAATTGAGGCCAATGTTCCCGTTTCTTAAATACTTCCTGTGGGTGCTGGCTCAGTAACTGATCTCATGACCCCAGGGCTCACTGCCCTGGATAGAAAGCACTGCTTCAGAGAAGTCTGGTTGAGGCACTGGGGTGAGAAAGGGAGCATATAGGCAGCTTGCCCGTCCCTGCCAATGGACTGCACCTACAGAGGTGCCAAGTCAGAGCTGCCACTGTCTGGGTCAAGACGACCAGCATATGCTTCCTACTACACACAGGAGGTGGGTTACCAAAGTGCCAAAGACACTGGGCTTTGAGGCTGTGGTTGATTAATAATTAGGGATGGGCCTAGACTCTT